ATCACAAACAACAAAATTTAAAAATAGGTGAATTAGATTCCATCAAAATAAAAAACATTGGTGCTTCGAAGAATGCCGTTTAGAAAGTGAAAGACAACCACAGAATAGGAGAAAATATTTGCAAATCATAGATCTAATAATATGTAAAATATATAAAAAGACTACTATGACTCAATAGAAAAACAACCCAATTTTAAATGGGCAAAGAATTTGAACAGACATTTCCCCAAAGAAAATGTAGACATGGCCAATAAGCACAAAACAAGATATTCAACATCATTCGTCATTAGAGAAGTACACATCAAAACTGCAATAAGATATCACTTCACACTGAAATTGGATATAATAAAAAAGGCAAATATTGGTAGTCTTTAAATATTTGGTAGAATTTAACAGTGAAGCCATCTGGTCCTGGAAATTTCTTTGTGGGAAACTTTTTAATTTTTTTTTTTTTTTTTGAGTCGAAGTCTCACTTGGTCACCCAGGCTGGAGTGCAGTGGCATACTGCTCACAGCCACCGCAGTCTCAATCTGCTGGGCTCAGGCAATCCTGCCACCTCAGCCTGCTAAGTAACTGGAACTACAGGTGTGTGCTACCACACCCTGCTAATTTTTTAATTTAATTATCAGTTTGATCTTTTTATTTGCAAATAGGTCTACTCAGATTTTCTGTTTCTTCTTGAAGGAATTTTGGTAGTGTGTAACTTCCTAAGAATATGTCCAGTTTATCTAGGTTATAGAATTTTTTGGCATGCATTTGTTCATTATATATTTTGTTCATATATATTTTGTTCATTATATATTTTGTTCATATATATTTTGTTCATTATATATTTTGTTCATATATATTTTGTTCATTATATATTGTTCATATATATTTTAAACCTCCATTTTTAGGTACATATATGTAATTCTTTCTAACTTTAAAACAAAGATAATGGTGTCCCTCCTTTTGCCCCTAATTTTATTGAGTCTTTTCTTTGTCAATCTAGCTAATGGTTCATCAATTTTATTGATCTTTTCAAATAACCAATTTTGGTTTAAATGTTTTATTTTTCTATTCTTTAATTCATTTATTTCTGTTCTAGTCTCTATATTATTTCCTTCCCTCTGTTTGCTTTAGGTTTATTTTGCTCTTCTTTTTATTGTTTCTTATGGTAGAAAGTAGGTTATTGATTTGAGGTCTTTCTTTTATTCATATAGGCACTTATAGCTATAAATTTCCCTTATTCCATAAATTTTCATATGTGATATTTTCACTCTTATTCTTCTCTAAATATTTTCTACTTTCCCTTGTGATTTCTTCTTGGACCCATTGGTTATTTGGGAGTAACTGTTTAATTCCACATAGTTTTTTTCCCCCAACTGTACATCTGTTACTGATTTCTAACTCCCTTTCATAGAGATTGATGAGCATATTGTAAATAATTTTCATCCTTTTAAATTTATTGAGACTTTCTTTATGGTCTAATATATGATCTATCCCAGAGAAGAGAATGTACATATCCTTCTATGTACATTTAAGAAGAATGTGTATATTCTGCTGTTAGGTGGAGTGTTTTATAAATGTCTGCCAAATCTAGGTAGTTTATAATATTGTTCAAGTGTTTTTGGCTGATCTTCTTGTTTAGTTGTTCTAGCCATTATTGAAAGTGGTATATTGAATTCCACTATTGTTGATTATCTACTTTTACTTTCTTTTTTTTTTTTTTTTTTTGAGTTGGAGTCTCACTCTGTCACCCAGACTGGAGTGCAGTGGCCGCTCTCAGCCACCGCAGCCTCAACCTGCTGGGCTTCAGTGATCCTTCCGCCTCAGCCTTCCGAGTAGCCGGAATTACAGGCATGCACTACCACGCCCGGCTAATTTTTTGATTTTTTTGTAGAGATGAGGTCTCGCCAAGTTGCCCAGGTGGGTCTGGAACCCACGGGCTCAGGCAATCCACTCACCTCAGCCTCCCAAAGCGTGGGATTACAGGCTGAGCCACCAAGCCCGGCCACTTTTACTTTCAGTTGCCAGTGTTTGATACATATTTTGAACCTCCATTTTTAGGCACATATATATATATACAATTATGTCTTCCAGACAGATTGACCCATTTATCACCATAAAAATGTCCTTCTTTGTCTCTAATAGCAATTTTTGTCTTTAAGTCTATATTGTATGATGTTAGTATAGCCATGCCAGTTCTCTTTTGGGTACTATTTTCATGGTATACATTTTTTCATTCTATTACTTTCAATTTGTTTGTGTCTTTGAATCTAAAGTACGTGTCTTATAGATATAGTTGCATCATGGGTTTTGTTTTGTTTTGTTTTGTTTTTGAGTTGGAGTCTCTTTGTTACCCAGGCTGGAGTGCAGTGGCATGCTCGCAGCCACTGCAGCCTCAACCTACTGGGCTTAGGCGATCCTTCCGCCTCCGCCTTCCAAGCAGCTGGAACTACAGACGCACGCCACCATGCCTAGCTAGTTTTTGTGATTTATTGTAGAGACGAGGTCTCACCAAATTGCCCAGGCTGGTCTGGAACCCCCGGGCTCAGGCAGTCCTCTCACCTCGACCTCCCAAAGTGCTGGGATTACAGTCTGAGCCACCGCACCCAGCCATGGGTTTTTAAAAATTCATTCTTCCTAACTCTGCCATTTGGTTGGAGTGTTTTATTTATGTTTAGTGTAATTATCAATAAGGTAGGGTTTACACCTACCATTTTGCTATTTGTCTTATATAGGTCTTATGTTTGTTCCTCTATTATTTCATTTCTGTCTTCTATGTTAAGTATTTTTAATATGCCATTTTAATTCTCTTATCGTGTGTATGTGTGTGTGTTTACATACATACATATATGTATTTCTTTTTTTCTGAGTTGGAGTCTCACTCTGTCACCCAGACTGGAGTGCAGTGGCTCCCAGCCACCACAGCCTCGACCTGC